CCAGACCTAGAGATTTGAGTTTTTACAGGGACTTGTTTCTTGATTCGTCTAGTGAACAGGATGAGTGAATTATACTCATCTGCTCTTTATTTTAATGTTTGTGTTGTTAGAAATTGTTTTTATTATTTAGATGTTGTTGGATGTCCAGAGTCATTTGATGAGATGGGTGACCATACAAATTGAATTCATAAATAGCCATAAACTTTTTGATATAGAAATCAGGTGTAGGCTTTTCTCTTTGAATTGATGATGAGTGAAGAAGAACAAAATAGTAGCAAAGAATCATAAATTGTTTAAATGAGAATGTAAAGAAAAGAAAAGGCATGTTTGTGGATGAAGTCACTAGTGGCTCATAGGAAAAATAAGAGTCATGCTATGTAAATATGAAGGTAAAGCTATAAATGGTTTTTACTCATGGTAGCTATATATTTTAAGAGCCAGTTTGTTTTAATGGTTAGGTTATCAGGCTAGAAACCTAGAGACCATGACTCCTGCCTTAGAAATTAAGGAATTTCCCTTCCTCCGCCATGGTCACTAAAATCTGCAACAGCAATATTTTTCTACACTGCATTATTTCAGTTCTTATGTTGAGGACAGGCCATATTTGGTAACATAAGATTGTTCCAATGGCATTGCCATTTTTGCATGCAAAAAAAGGATGATTCAATTCCAATTCTGCACATCAACTCTTGTCCACTGTAAAGAAAATGAGGTAAATCACTTTCTGTTCTGCCAACTAAAAGGACTTGAAGTTGGATGTAGAGGACAGAGGCCATTTCTTTGGATAAAATTAGAAGACATAAAGTGATTGCCCTGCTTACTCAACAAGACAAAGCAAGTTTTGGAATTATAAGAAACTGGTTTTGTGAGTTTAGCTTCGAAATCTGCAAGAGAACAGAGCAACACAAACGTGTTGGAAAAAAGCATTATATACTACTTTTTTGAAAGATGAGTATAATACATTTCTACATCTTATATGACTATAATTGGATGATCAACATTTGATATTGTAGCACAACCACCTTATCTCCAAATTGTTATCATGAATTTACCACATTTTAAAATAGAATATATCAATATGCTGATTTTATAACTGTTGCGTACAATGCAATTTTAGAGCTGAAATAGCAAGCTGACTTTAGATAAGTCAGCAATAAAGAAATCATGATTCTGGTTGCATCTTTTTCATCTACTATAGCACATTTTATGTAAAGGCGTAAGCTTTTGTGAGCTGACCTCATAGCCTATACATGGTACTCTCCTACAATAGATACGGAAATACATCAAATATGCTATCCTCATTTGTCCCAATTTTCTGTTTGGGTAAAAGAATGAAAAAAAAATATTCTCCTGACTTTAGAATTTCTAGAAAGTTTTTTGCATTTTAGAAAAAAACTATAATTACCCTAAACTCTTCTTTGGGTTCCTCCAGTTGAATTTTGTGCAGAGTGCTGACAGACAAGGTATGTTCTCTAGCTCTGATCTGTTCTACATCAACCCTGATATGTAAATGCTATCATGTTGTTACTAGTACAGTATGAGGGCGATAATGAAGCAGGACAAGTTCTCAATCCTCATGTATAGAGGTCAAGATTAAGGAGTTCTTACATATTTTGGCAACCCATTTTACACTTGAAATGTTTAAGAACTCTCAAAATGATATTATCTTGAGTATTTTTTTTTAGTGTGTTGATGAGATCGACAAACTCATTATATGCTCAAAGTTATGGCAGAGCCTGTCCCCCAAAAGGTACTCATGATCCAAAATTCTGACAGTTGTTTCCCCCGCAGTCACATGATCACATTTTGGGTGCTTGGCAACTGGGCCACATTTACGGCCATTTTACAACAAAGTTGGTGTAAAATATTTACAGATGTCCTGCAGTCAAACATCTTTGCTGAAAACTGGCTTTTTATTTTAAGCAAAAATGCTCCTGTTGTGAACAATGGATTTATTTAATGACCACAGATTTTACTTAACAACTGCAGCGTTTGCTTGATGTCCACCACAAAACATCAAGTTGGTTATGTGGACGACCTTCTTTATGACTGTCACAATTTATGTCCATACATGCCAGGCCTAATCACAGTCATAAACCAAGGAGTATCTTACACCTATTCACTTCAGTTTCTGAGGCTCATTTCCTAAAAAAAACCATCAGTTCAGGAATGGTTAACTGTCCTAGAAGAGAACAGTTGGCTCAAGAGTTGTCAGAAGCTGCAAAAGTGCCTTATGCCAGGGAGCAGATTGACAAAGAAAACACAAACCCATCAAACCAAATTAGCAGAATTAAGATTCAAATAATCTCTGAAAGGTCAACCAACCTCTGGCAAAAAAAAAAAAAAAAAAAAGCCTCTTGATCTTTAAGTGCCTAAATGGTTTCCTGGCAAATCCAATCTAGAGTATACATAGAAAATGCCGCAAATCTCATAAAATCTTAACTGTCAACCAGAAAATAGTTGGTCCCTTGAAAGAAGAAAAGCATTCATTCCACAATTCCATATTATTGAAAGTTTACTTCTTTGAAGTAAAGATACATTCATAGATATATGCCACTGTTATAATTATTTTGAAGTCTTTTTGAGGAATAATATATGTATCCTTAGGTAAGTATCATCCAACAGATGTTATAGAATTATGTTACTGAAATGAAATCTTCATTTCTAAGATGACTTGTTTCTTAAGCAATATAAGCCTATAAAAACAATAAATTGCAACCATGAGATAGTTTTACCACTCATATTGTTATTATAAATTATTAACTTAATTTAATCCTTTTCCCTTTGTCTTCTTCCTTCACGTCCTTATTAAATACCAAATTATTATTAAATATATTTTTGCATCTTTCAGATAAGAATATAAAACAAAAAATAATTAAACTAACCTCTACTTGTTTGGAAAGAGCTTTCTCATACTGTGTCTCAGCCAGGAGCTAATTACCTATTTTGTTTTTAAAATGTTGTGTCATTTTATATGGTGCTAAAAACATCTTGAGTTCTGAAATGCTTGTTTTCTCCTATAAAAATTGAAATGCTAATATTAGAACATTACACACATCAAACAAGACTAGAATATTAAGTACTATTTGTGCCATAGTGTGTAGCAATGTGATTGGCAGTGAAACCTGATTAAATCTTCATTCAGCTGATGAGAATTTGTCTGAATTAACTTTGTAATTCAGAGCTTAAAGTACTTATAATGTCATTTCTCCTTAAAATTGTTGTGCTTCTATAGAATAAACTGTATTTCCTTAATATTCTTGGGGGTAAAAGCAGTTACTTTTTAAAGAGGTTCTTGATTCTGTTCTTCATTTTAAAAATTAGCTTATATTTAGGCACTATGAGTTGCTTACTTAGTGGTTTAGTATTGTTAACTTGTAAGGAGCTTATAGTTTGTAAACTCAGTTGTGGACACTACTTGATATTTATTTTACTATGGATGATTGAAGAAGGCATAAGAATACTAAATATCACCTCATTACAAACTCATCATGCCTATAGAGAAATTATGCTTTTCCACTTTACGTAATTGTTACTTTTGCAATAAAATAATGAGAAAACAAATAGGCATGAAATGAGCAATATAATCACTTGCAAATAATCTGTGCTCATGTTAATTTTAAATTCAAGTGTGGTAATATTTGAGAATTATTACTCAGTACTAATAGTTCTTATTAGCACTATTTTAAAGTACTTTGAAAAACAGAATAGAAAATGTGAAACATTTTAATAGATTTATGTTGCTGTTAATAACATGCAATTAAGACTTCACTTAGTTTGAGTCATTTTTGTATGTACACATGTTGGGGTTATCTTTACCTTTGTATATGTAATATTTCAATGCTATTATAATAAGAGTTTATTAAATCTGTATCTTAACACTCAGGGATTCACAGCAATCAAACAAAATACAGTAAAACCAGTAAAGCATAAGAAATAAAAATCTTTATCAGGACTTCATAAAAAAATGAATTAATGTATTTATTTCAGCATTATTAATTTTAACATATCATAATGCCTCTTTTGCCTCTAGAAATCTGCCTTCATAAATTTGAAGGATAGGAATCAGTAACATGTTTTTTATATTATCCTTTATACAGATATATTTTGTGAATTTTATTACAAATCTAAAATGAACCTTCTCAGGGAGGAAGCGTGAGAAGGTTTGAAAACTTATTATTATGAAATATAATAATATTGTGTTTGTGTGCTAATTATTTTTAAAATATTTAGTTATTTGCAAAAGCAATATGAGATTTCCAAATATTACTATGCTTGAATTATACCCAACATTTTGACTGTATTGTGCATTTCACACCCATTTGCTATTATAGAGATTAATCCAAGCATTTCCAGTACTATTGCTAAATTATGCACTCACAATACATGCTAACCCTGGTGTCTGGTTTGATAGTTAATTTGACTTCTAGTGTTTTAAAAACAGCCCTTCTGTATTATGACTTGCTTTTATGATGATTTTATTTTTCATTTTTAAAGAAAAATACATTGATCTGACCTCAAAAAATGCATGTATTATGACTATGAACATTTTTCAGTGGTTACTAGCTATATTATCTGATTGGAAAGAAGATGAAGATGAAAGATTCATTTAAACAAACATGTACAGTAGAAACAAAAACAAATTATCTGGCTTCTCTACTTTTTCCTTTGTTTTATGTATTGCTTCCTTGCAGCTTGTGCTACTTGTGGACCAATTCACTTGAATATTGCCTGATGAGTGTTGCTACACATACAAATAATAACCATTGAAATAGTAATAAGGTACTGATTAGATAATCGGGATAATCCATCTCTTTATGTGAGCACCTGTTTTTCTTTGTTTAAGATAGTAGCAAGTTAATACTGTTGTCTTAGATTGCGATTACAGAATATACTTTTTTAGTGTTATTCACAGGAAACCTGTCTCAGTCTGGTACTGTTTACTGATTATACTTTGTGTCTTAATGTATAACATTTATTTATTTACTTTTGCTCTACAGTATCTGGAGAGGCCCAAATGTGAACTGTGTTGACAGTACTGGATACACTCCATTGCATCATGCTGCTTTGAATGGCCACAAGTAAGTTTTCTGTGTCTGAAATAACTTTTTAAACAATCAGCCTATTAAAGTAGCTAAAACAAATAAACCCTGTAGCACTTTACAAATAGCTTCCTTCAAATATCATAAGTAATGGAACTCGAGTATCATCAGGATTATGCAGTGCACTATGCCGTATTATTGTTAAATGGATTTATTCAGAGATGTTGATATTTTGATATTCTAGACATGACTGCCACCGCCTCTTTGAGCAGGAGTCGTAAGTCCAGGAGAACCCGCGAGTTGCAGATCAGGTTCATCTGGAGTAGTGTAACCCCATCTAGAATTTACTTAAAGTCCCAAATCTTGAAGCTCTAAAGACCCAAAGCCATTTGGTCTTGCCAGATTATCGTCCCCATCCAGGCCCCCACAGCTCTAAGCACCACAAGAGGGCGGCACAGCATCACTTTGATCATCGGGGTAGAGATATAAAACTGAGTATCATCAGCATACGTACGTGTGCATGCTCATCTTCGTCAATCCAGAAAGCTTTTCTTTAGAGAAAAGAGGCAAATGAGTTTTCAAGATTCATTTTCTCATGCTTGTTAGACATTGGTTATAGTGGGATGATAAATTTTGAAATGTAGTTGTTACTTCTGCAGTCCAGAGAAACTGACAGTTGGGTGGCATATATATTTAATACATTATTATAATGTTTAGTTTATGTGATTTAACAGGGGTTTTACTAAAATCCTAAAATTTCTTTCGTTACTTTGCTAGGAGTCTAGTTTAAAGCGTCCCCCAAACTTGCGTGTCCAGATTCAATCTGAACATGTCCAAATCCACAAAGGCTTATGTTTATATTTTTCATATTTAGTTTGTACTCAGCTAGTACTCAGTGGCCTCTATTTACAAACTCTGATGCCAGTCAGATATCCCCAGTTTTAAATCTGTGTATCTATCTCTTTCCTGCATTTCTTTCTCTTAAAATTTAATCTTTTGTCATCGTCAGTCAGTATCTTAATTTCTCAAGTTTATTTGACTGTTCTGTCTTCTATGCCACTAGCTATCCTAGGCAATGCTATGTGAGCTGCACATTTTACAAGCATTCCCTGTAGCACCTCATTCAAGTCCCTAATAAATATGTTGAATACATGGACGAGGCCTAAATCTTACAGCATCCCACTTAATTTTCATTGTGGTTCTTCTTAATGAATAGCAATTAACAAACACCCAGTGTGAGTTTTCAAGCCAGCAGTTTATTCATTTAATTATCCTTCTAGCCAGCCAACATGTAACTAGTTTGCTAATCAGAACATTACACCCTGTTTTAACAAATAATTTGCTGAAATCAGAAAATATTGGAACTGCTTTACTAATTCTCAACTAAAAATAATATTTTCTATTCCCTATAGGGAAACAAAATTATTAGATTTAAAGTTGCATTTTAATGAAGTTTTCCTCTTTCATGGTTTTCTTCTTTTTATTAACGTGTTGTTGTTTAGTTTTGTTTTTTTAATTGAGCAGCAAATTATTTCTCTGGGACTGAAGAGTACAGTACTTGCCTTTCTATCTATATATACAGTATTCTATACTGAAGAGCTGTTATTAGTATGTTTCTCAGTCCTTACATTGGCTAAGAAAGTTGCTCTTTACTGCCATTTAGAGGCTACAAAAATTGTTTTTCTAGAGTAATGAACAGACAATGCAGCTGTGGATTCTGTGTCCTTTTATAAACAGTAAGTTCAGTGTTTCATTTTCAGCATTTGTTAAGGTTTACCTCTCCTCCACTTAACACTATCATTGGCTAAACTCAGGTTGTTCAGAGTCTGTTCTTTTTTTTTTAAATCCAATTCTGTGCCCTCCCCAACACATTAGCAGTCTAGAAGAACAGGCTCTACAGCTGTTCCCTTGCAGCTGTGTAATCAACATAATTTGCATCTTTGAGAAAGAATGAGCATTGGCTACTTACATGCTTTATTTTGAAAAAATAGTGATCTTTGCTGATAATTTCTTTACACGGTTGTTTCTACAGGTAAATACAAGTAAATAAAATATGCTGAAATGGTGAAATCAAAAGCTTTAACAAGGATAAGCAAGGGCCATAGGAACCTTTGCAACCTTTAACAAATAAATTTAACAAATAAATAAAATAAAGTGTACTAGAAGATTATGTAAAAAAAACCTTCTATTAAAAGTGCCTCAAATCTTTCAGAGGTAGCGTCTGCCTAAGCTGGTCCTTTGGTGGTGACTTTGGCTTGGGCTTGTCCAGTTATTTGTGCTGAGTTTCATTTGATTACTCCCAAGGAAATGGACAGAGTCCTTAGGTTGATGATTCTGTTACTTACAATGTTAGGTTCTATCCCTTCTGATTGGTCAAGCCACCCAGAGAAGTGACATATAGATAGGTGGTATGTAGCTAATCTGTGGTAAATGCTTTTTTTTAATAATAGGGGTGGTTCCATGCCCCTTCAAGGAGACAGTGTTTTGCCCCTTCTCAAGAAGTTACTACTGGACATTTTTTTCTGAATCTCTAATGTTCCTTTTTTGAGGGAGACTGTTGAGGTGGTAGGTCTATAATTTCAAAGGGCTGTAGAGGAAGCAAATTATCTGGACCTGTTACAATTTGTTTTCAGGCTGAGATACTATATAGTACTGCAATTGATCACACTGGATAACATCTGGTGGGTTTGGAATGGGGATGGTGTATCCATTTTACTTCTCATTGGTTTTTAGTACCATAAATCATAGCATCCTTCTGGACTGCCTGAGATGTTGGGAGTAGGAGGTCTTGTTTTTTTAGTACTTCTCCTTTCTCCAAAGAATGGTTCCAATTGGCATGTGAGGAGGAGAGGTCTGTCTTCAGGCCTCTGCTTTTAGGGTGCCATAATATTAGGATACTATCTTCTGTTGTAAATAGAAAATATGTCTCATACAGACACAGCCCATTACCTGGGTAGCAGATCATGCATATCTCCATCAAGATCATCTTTATTACTTTCTACAGCATGGGTCTCAATTGTACATCTGTGATCTGGACCATCCAGGTGGTGCTGGGCATGTGTCTTACCAGTACCTGGAAGCTGCAAAAGTCTGGCTAGAGAAGATCTGGCTTCAGGCCACCCCTGACAGGACTGAACGCCTGTAGTTTTTTAGGTTACCCTGTATCTGTTGATTTGCCATCTTTAATTCTGGCTAAGGTTATCCTTTTCTAGTCAGAGTTGGTACACACTGCAGTTCCACTTTAACTCAATGGCAGCCTAAATAGCAGGTGGCAACTGTAGCCCGAAGAGCCTTTGCGCAAATGTATTTTATGTGCCAGTTTAACCTATTCTAGATCAGGAATCATTGCTTATGTCTTTGCTGCCTCCCTTTTCCAATGTGTTCTACATGGGCTACCTTTTAAAGAGTATTTGGTCCAGAATACTATGGCAGGGACATAAGGAACTGCACTGAAATAACATCTATGTAACACTGATGCTGCATCAGCTGCATTGGCTTCCAGTGGACTTCTGGTTGAATTTAAAATGCTGATTATCATCTTTAAAGTTCTAGGTGGCATAGGGGCAAGTTACTTGTGGGTCTGCCTATCCCTAAAGGTTTCTGTTCATCCCTCTAAATCTGAGTTGTCTTATGGTACTTTGGAATTGTGCTTTCTCTGTCATGATGTCTGTCTTAAAGGAATAGCCTCCTCTTAAGAGATGTGGATGCTGTTGGTCTTAAGGAAAACAATCAAGATGTGCCCCTAGGGTTAGGAGGAGAATGAGGCTGGCATGATGTGTTTAATCTATGGATATGAGTCTTATTAGGGCCTCAACACTGTCTTTTTGCTTTAATGGTTCTTAGTAATTGTATTTTTAGTCTTGTTCACCACCCAGAGTTCCTTTGGGTAGTTGGGTAGCAATATTAATTTATTAAGAAAATAATCAAATAAACTGTATAACTAATTCATACTTGGAAAAAAATAATGTTCATTCTTGCAAATTAGATTTAAACACTTGTCCACTTATAGATAATTTGAATAATAGAATATAATTCTTTATTGGCCAAGTGTAATTGGACATACAAGGAATTTGTCTTCGGTGCATAAGCTCTCAGTGTATGTAAAAGCTATGTGATAAATCATGATCATAGTCTTCATAAAATACATTCATCATAAATCATAAGATATAACAATAAGTGATAGTCATAGGAGACTAAATAAGCAATCAACATAAATCATACTTGGAAACTAAATAAAACATATTGTAAAGATACAAGCAACAAAGGTATAGTCATAAGTAGAAAAGGAGATAGGTAATAGGAAAAATGAGAAGAATAATAGTAATACAGCCTTACTAAATAGTTCCTAATGCTTGGCCCTAAGCCTATTTACATAGATACTGTACATTTCATCAACTAGGTTGAAAGTTATCTCCCAGAATAGATGGCAGCCTTATTTTCTTTTGGTGGATGAACAATAGGCTGTTTTCATTTCCCAGTTCTTAAGGAACCCTGGTGAATATTTGAATTTGGAAATATTTTCCAAGTAGACTGTATACAAACTGATATTTTTATTAACACATGTGTCCAATTTACTATTTGATTTTGATTGTCATATCCAGAATTCTTCTGAAATTTCATGGCATTATTCCGTCCTCAGGGATGTTGTGGAAGTTCTGTTGAGAAATGATGCATTAACGAATGTGGCTGACTGCAAAGGCTGTTATCCTCTCCATTTGGCAGCTTGGAAGGGAGATGCTGAAATAGTGAAACTGCTAATACACCAGGGACCCTCCCACACTAAAGTAAATGAGCAGGTCTGAATACGTTCCTCTTTTTGTGCTCTTGATGATCTTACAACATTTGTTATATTGTTCCATAGGAGGGGGTGCATACAGCATCTACAAGGGTAAATTTGTTGTTTGACATTTTGCTTGAGAAACAGCTAAAGGTTAAATGCTATTATTGTTCAGCAAATATGAAAAAGTGTACCCTGAAAGCTGTATTTTTGGTTGATCAGATTGAGAACTGTAGAAAAGAACAATGGCTAAATTGGTTTATATTCAGTGGGAGGATTTTAACCATTATTCCTATACTCCACCCCACCACCCACCATGTTTTCTGGAAATTTGAAATCTGATGTAATTGATACATCCATTTATTTTTGTGGTGAAGCAATTCTAAACAGCTTTATACTCTTTGCCATATTTTGTAGCTAGCTTATACTGCTTTACTACTTATGCTTAGTAAGCTAATCTTGTGCAGTTAACTACAATACAGCTTTCAGATATTAATAATTAATTTACTAAAATGCTGTGTTCAAATGGAAGAAAAACAGTAATTGTTTCTGTTGTTTAAAATGCTGCCATTTGACTTGTATGATTGAAAACTTTCTTGTGTACAAATGTAGACATATACACCTCATAGTGCTAGTATTGATTTGGAGACCAGGTAAACTCTTACAATATTGCTCCAAATTAAACTGGGGCTGGTATTTGGAAAAACAGAAATATTGGGAATATTATTAAGTTTTCTCACGAAATTTTTCACTTGCATTTTTCGTTGTATGTGTGCATTTATTTATTATGATGTCTACACTGCTGAATTCCTATTCCCAGAGGTTGAAGTAGCTTATGGAAAGCCAAAATAAAGGATCAAAAATCTATCTCACATAAAACATTTAATAGACATTAAGTGACACCCATGGAGATAGGCTAAACCTCCACTTCCCAAAAATGCATTTTCTAAAAAGTAAAGTTTTCAGAACCCTTTAGAAGACCAATAATGTTGAGGAGCACTGGGTATCCAGCCGTAAATTATACCACAGAAAGGGCATCACCAAGAATGAGCCTTCAGGGTTTTTTTGTCTACATAACATTTTTCTTTTGGAAAGTAAAATTATTATCCATATTACCCTACTACTTTAGGCCAAATTGCAACCAAACTAGATCTGAACAACTTGTTCACAGTTAAAGTTAAAATTCCATTTCTATAATAGACCCCTGACTGTGAGACTTATTACCTGAATTAATAAGGAGTATAGCATAATCTCTTACAAATATTCAAAGAAGTTCCTTTGCTGATTAGTAATATTTTTTGTGATTGTATAGCCAAATGTACACATTCAAAAGTTTTTAGTAATATTGTTTGGAAATCTTTTTTGTCAGACATTGTTTATTGTGCTTCTAGGAAACAACTTTGTCAATCATTTTAGTGTTAACATTTCAAATTTTATAATGCAATTTGCAATTCTTTAATAAATTGGATGGGGCCATATGAAAATAAAGGCTCTTGCCATCTATAGCTAGTATGAGGCCAAATATTTGTAAGATGTCAAAGTGAAGTGTTAAATAGAGAACTTAAGATTTTTAGTTGAGCTTTGCATGTTGATCAGCTATTGACAGCTGGAATGGCTAGTTTAATTAATTGCTTTTCATTGGAATGAAATATTATCATGTTCTATCATTTCTCCCCTTCAGAATCACTCACTGCTTTTTTACTATATCCTGCCATTTCATCATCACATTTTCTTTTCCTCTCCTTTTTGTAGAATGCTCTTGAGATCAAAGAACTCAAAAAGTACGGCCCCTTTGACCCTTATATCAATGCCAAGGTGTGTACTTCGCTGACAGGATTTCACTATATCATTACTCCAAGTTGTATTTTGGTGCTTTCAGAAGCCTTGTTATCTAGTTCATTGCTATTGCCTATTTGGGAATGGCCGTGGAGGACTGAAAATGCAATCTCTTTAATGTGAAATTTGTATTAAGCCATGTTAGATTTGGTAAAAGTTTACTTGATACTTAACAAGGTCTACCAATGTTTTGACTTGGTAGATTTGGGGTACTTGTTGATTCTCAAATCAATAATAGCATTCAGAAATATAAATTCAAAACATTCTGGTATTGTTTCTCTATTTAATAAGAAAGGGAATAATACTGATTATGTTAATGGTATACTGTCCAACAAATGTATGCATTCTTAGCAGTACTGAACTTCATTTTGCTAATAGTGATGATGCTACATAACACAGAAGAGAACAATTTTTGTTAGTGCTTGTGTGAGGACAACAATGCCTTTATTGTCTGTGTGGATGTGTTCATGTATCCATTTGTGTGAAAGTATGTTCATTTTTTCTTATTTCACTCGTTTCTTTTTCATATCTGATTGTTTCTTTAACTGAATATGGCCTATTCTTCTGCTTATAGTAATTATCAGGAAAAAAACAGAAAAGCAAATCTAAAAATACTGAAAATCTTAAATTATTTCACAGATAATCTAATATATATAAAGAATCCTAAGTGATTCCTTGTTATAATGAATCTCAAAAGAAATATTTGTTGTAAATTATTATTTTAATTTTTAGACCATCAAATTGGAGCACCTTAAATATTGATTTTTAAGGTCTAAATCAAATTGGGCTCCATGGATATGGTTTTAAATATATTATTATCAAAGTTGGAGATAAATAGGGCGAATTACCTTAAATTACATGCTTTTATAAATTCAGAATATAGGTGAATATAGTCTGTAAATGTAGGGTAAACATTAATGTTTGATATGGTAAATAATATTATGTATTAAGATTCATAATGTTAAAGTTTTGATGAAGATTGCAGCATCACTGTGCTTTTGCTGAAATTTTCCTATATGTCTATGACAGTTTTTGGACATTAAGGAGCTGCCATATTCTGTCTCTGTATTTTTCAGTCTAAAGTAGTTCAACCCAATGGTAAATACTGAAATGGAAGTGTTTAGATATTTAAATCAGAAATTGAAATAATGTTTTTAAAATCACTGTAGAAAACTACCAATTTAAATACTTAGTAGTTGGTAATACTTGGTAGTAATTGATTGAATTGTTTTTTCTTTTTGATAATTCATATATTTCTTTACTATAACAGTTTAAATGTTTGCACCTAAACAAAAGAGTATAATCACTTTTGCCATAATGGATTTTTATTGTAGAATATGTATCTATATTTAGCTAGGAAATTAGTGAAATTAGTGATTGCCTTGGCTATCTCTACACAACTTAGAACATTAAGCAATATAATTTACTTAAATACCAAAACTGGAATCAAAGAATTCTAAAACTAATTTTCTGGGTCTGAATAGATGTTTTTTAAAATTCCAAACTGTCATTTTTAATTTGTGTGGTGTTAAAAAATCTGTACCACAAATTAATAATAATAAGTCACTATCTACAGGTGAAACTCAAAAAATTAGAATATTGTGCAAAAGTTCATTTATTTCAGTAATGCAACTTAAAAGGTGAAACTAATATATGAGATAGACTCATTACATGCAAAACAAGATAGTTCAAACCGTGATTTGTCATAATTGTGATGATTATGGCTTACAGCTCATGAAAACCCCAAATCCACAATCTCAAAAAATTAGAATATTACATGCAATCACAAAAACAAGGATTGTACATAGAACAATATCAGACCTCTGAAAATTATAAGCATGCATATGTACTCAGTACTTGGTTTGGGGCCCTTTTGCAGCAATTACTGCCTCAATGGCATGGAAGCTATCAGCCTATAGTACTGCTGAGGTGTTATGGAAGATCACAATGCTTCAATAGCAGCCTTCAGCTCTTCTGCATTGTTCGGTCTCATGTCTCTCATCTTTCTCTTGGCATATATTTATAAATTCTCTATGGGGTTCAGGTCAGATGAGTTTGCTGGCCAATCAAGCACAGTAATCCCACGGTCATTGAACCAGGTTTTGGTGCTTTTGGCAGTGTGGGCAGGTGCCAAGTCCTGCTGGAAAATGAAGTCAGCATCCCCATAAAGCTCATCTGGAAGGAAGCATGAAGTCCTCCAAAACCTTCCGGTAGACAGCTGCGTTGACACTGGACTTAGTGAAGCACAGTGGACCAACACCAGCAGATGACATGGCTCCCCAAATCGACACAGACTGTGGAAACTTCACACTTGCAGTGTGTGCCTCTCCATTCTTCCTCCATACTCTGGGTCCTTGGTTTCCAAATGAGATGCAAAAGTTGCTCTCATCAGAAAAGAGGGCTTTGGACCACTGAGCAACAGACCAGGTCTGTTTTTTTTTAGCCCAGGTAAGTCGCTTCTGACATCGTTTGTTGTTCAGGAGCGGCTTGACAAGAGGAATCCGACATTTGAAGCCCATGTCCAGGATCCATCTGTGTATGGTGGCTCTTGATGCACTAACTCCAGCCTCAGTCCACTCCTTGGGAAAGTCCCCAACACTTTTGAATGGCCTTTTCCTGACAATCCTCTCCAGGCTGTGGCCATCCCTGCTGCTTATGCAACTTTTTCTTCACTTTTCCCTTCCATATAACTTTCTATTAATGTGCTTTGATACAGCACTTTGGGAACATCCAACTTCTTTTGCAATTACCTTTTGAGGCTTTCCCTCCTTAGGGAGGGTCTCAATGATGGTTTTCTGCACAACTGTCAGGTCAGCAGTCTTTCCCATGATTGTGATTCCCACTGAACCAGACTGAGAGACCATTTAAAGGCTCAGGAACCCTTTCAGGTGTTATGGCTCAATTAGCTGATTAGAGTGGGACACTTTGAGCCTAGAATATTGCACCTTTTCACAATATTCTAATTTTCTAAGGTTATGGATTTGGGGTTTTCATGAGCTGTAAGCCATAATCATCACAAATCACAGCTTGAATTATCTTACTTTGCATATAATGAGTCTATCTAATATATTAGTTTCACCTTTTAAGTTGCATTACTAAAATAAATGAACTTTTGCACAATATTCTAATTTTTCAAGTTTCATCTGTACTTGTGAATATACCTTATATATTTATTTATATATAATTTATTTATATATTTTTACAGAAACAAGAAAAATTAGATAGTCTTGGTGATACATTTTTCCATTAAATGAAAAAGAATGTTGTTAGGAGTTATACATTTCTATAAATTGTCACACACTATATGGCCCATTATAATATACATCTCATGATAAAATGTTACAATTATGATCCACAAAGCATTTGATCATTTAGCTAGAAAATGAATCTTTTAAGTGGTACCAAACAGACTGAATGAAGTTAAATTTTAATACAGTAATTATTTCAGGCAAATGTCATTCTTGCCACATGTAGTTTTCCACCATTTTCTTTGCAGTATAGAGTTTATGATGCTTTTTAAAGGATTTCTTGGTTGGTTTTATTCTTTTCTTTCTTTTCTGGGTGGAAGCAAAAACATGATCTGTAAGCCATCATTGTCTCTGAATATGATCTAAGTACCCCAAAATGCCAAAAGTACACAAAAATGCCCTTGTTTTATTCTCTGTAATCTTTAGTAGAAACTCCAGCACAGCAAGCTGAAAATATAGAAAAAAGAGTGCATACCTCTGGTTTATTCATTGTTTTGTTTCCACCAAGCCAGATCCCTCTAGAGAGCATTAATGTCTACTTAAATAAAAGATACTTTAAATCTTTAAAAGCCTGAAGAGGAAAGTGAGATGAATATCTTTCTACAAGGCTATTTTCTAAGTCTTTTGTAGCTTAGTATTATTTTTAATTTAATTTAATGAATACTATTAAAATCAAACATTTTAAACTAATCTAGCCCAAGAAGCATATTTCTTTAAGCTCACTTGGAAGGCTAAACTGCATAGAAATGAAGATACAATAAAAAATGTTATTTTAAACAATATTTCTGAGAGTTATGCTGATCTTCCCCATAGACTACATCAGTGATGGTGAACTTAAAGGTGTGGCAAAATTGTGTGTATGTGCACGCCCACATGCACAATTCAATGTGCCCCACCCACCTGCACATGCACATGTGAGTTTTCACCCCAGGTTCTGGAGGCTTTCTTGAAGCCTGGGGAGGTGAAAACGGCCTCCCTCAGCCCCCCCGGAGGCCCTCTGGAAGCTGGAAACGGATCATTTCTGACCTTCCAGTTGGCCCGTTGGCCCTGTTTTTTGCCTCCCCAGACTCCGGAGGCTTTCCTGAAGCCTGGGGAGGGCAGAAACAGCCTTCCCGGCCCTCCGATAGGCCAAAAATCAGCTGGCTGGCATGCATGCATGCCAGAGCTGATGGTTCTGTTTCCAACAAATATGGCTCTGCGTGCCCCCTGTGGCACACATACCATAGCTTCGCCATCACGGTACTAGATCAATGATTCTCAATCGTGGCTTGAAGATGTGTGGATTTCAACTCCCAGAATTCCCAAGGCTAATGGGTATTCTGAACTAACTGGAAATTAAGCTTTTCATTTTACCACTCTTTTTTTAAAGTAGTGTAAGTATTAACTACTAGAGGTTTTGGTTGAGAATCAGTTATAGAGTTTGAGGCATGAGGCTAGAAACTGGAAGACTGCGAATTGTCATCCCACTTTAGGGGCCAAGACCATCTGGGGACATTGGGCCAGTCATTTTCTATCAACCTTAGGAAGTATGCAATGGCAAACCATTTCTAAAATCTTATCCACAAAACCGCTGGAACTTGTCCAGGCAGTTGCCAATAGTCCACAAACACAGAGATTTTTGCTACTTCTAATAAGGCACACATAAAAGTAGGAAAAATGCTTGTGAACGTTTAGTTTAGTGGTAGCAGACATTTCAGTACAGATGAGGAATGATAGTTAAACAGTGCACTTTGACAAATTGTTAGACATTTTTGCATTTTCTCAAATTGAATTACATATGTACATTTATTTATGGTTAAAAAGTACTTTGATTTGACTGTCAAAAGAACCCCCGCTATACACCAATTACTGAGATTAAATGTATGCATATTCAAAATGACTTAACCTTTTTTGAATGCAAAATGTATCAAGGAATCATGATACTTAAAAATATAGTATGATCATACAGTAAAATTGTAAATATTTTTCTAGAGTTAATATAGTTAAAATTACCTCAATTTAAGTCACTGCTTTATCCTTTCCCTCAACTATTTCTAGAGTTTCTTTGGGTTTCTTTGCCAATTATGATTACGGTCTCACTTTTATGGGCTTCTGTTTAATATTTAGTGCTTTTACATACAAATTATTACTTTTGTACTGTACCAATTGCAAATCAAGTATACATTGGCAACTATTAGTTCATATATCCATGAAAAGCATTCCTTAGTCTTCAAGATAAATGGATCAGTGGGCAAAAGAAGAGCTGTTTAAGCTGCGGACCACTATTTTGACTTTTGATGCTACCATTTCTTTTCTCCTTTTTCTCTTAGAAATTATAGAAATCAATCTCAGACATTTTCAAAAAGACTTGCTTTTTAAAAATCTCAGTTGGGTTGTAAGATTTTTGCATTAATAGGCTAAAGTTTTTGAAAGAATCTGAGCCATCCTCTTAATGTGTAGCAATTTCATCCTATTTTCTAATGAAGATTTTTCAGATTTAAATTCTGTCAGATGGGCAGCTATTTGGATACACAGCTGGATTTGAACAGTTGCAGATTTCCCTGATTTTTAAACGTGGCATCCAAACTTGTTAGAATAGAATAAATTAAAAATAATTGTTGCCACAAACTTGAAATCAAACATGGGCTTTATAAGAGTATATAAAATTTTGCATTTCAGGAGTACCTATCTTCAGGTGTTCTTGGCCAGAAAATTTAAATGTCTAAATACTGACTTAGTTAAAAGAGAAATGAGAATTTGAGATATTAATCATATTAATTCTTTTTTTCTAAAAAGGCTGGCCTCGTTTCTCCCACAAGTAAAGCAGGGGAGGCCTAGTTATTGCTGGGATAACCAAGGGTCAGGTAATATTGTAGGTTAGCCTGTGTAATTGGAAAAAAAATCTTGGAAGATGACAGTGGCAAAATACTTCTGTACTTTGGCCAAAACCCTGTATCTATATATCCCTAAAATCCCTAGGATTTGAGCTCAGTTTAACAGAGAACTATCTTTAGTCCAATTGATGCTTCCCCCCTCCCCCGATGTTTACTGATGTAGTACATTATGCATAGTTTGTAATATAATGTGGCTAAAAAATACCATGGTTCTTCATTATCTTTCATTAAACCCTACATCTTAATTATAAATCCTGAACCATATGCTTTCCCCTCTATTCATGGTAAGATTCTCTGCATGCTGCTGAATGATGCATTACCTCATTAGAAGCACCTTCACTATAAATCTGTTTTTCCTTGGCAAATGTTTGACTTGAATTGTTTCTTTGCAACGTTGGAAGTGTCCGCCTCAATTTTTCAAATGTTTGTGCATGTCTGTCATTGTTCATAGTAACTTTCATTTGTACATTCCATTTTTTAAGCAGTCTGACTGTTCATCTATTTCCTTTCTGTTTCAGCCAGTTTTGTTATGTGCCCATGAGACATTGAACACTGTTGATACAGCTAGAACAAAAATAAATCACAAACATACCTCTGTTATATTTTGTCCAGTACAGTACAGCTTTTAAAGTTTTAATTTGTTTACTTTTTATCAATTGAAACATTTCTGGTGAAGCCAGGGTTTTGTTTATGTACATTTAGCCATTATAATTACACACAACCACACACCATTTAAATGTTTAAAGACACTAATAGTTTGAATGAAATTTTTGTATTCATATAATATCATCTAAAATCTTTAAGTACTTAGGTTTACACCTAGAGTTTAACCCAATGCTATTTAATACTTCAATGACTTCCTGATTTATGAAGTCCAATTTCAAAAAAGCATTTGGTCACATGAAAGAGCTGTTTCTTGACAGGTAATTAGTTTTCATAAGTTGATAATATTAGTCATAGTTTCCTGATAGCAGCGGCCCTTTGTATAAAATAAAAATTAAATATAATAACAACATAATATCAGATTGATTAATAAAAGGTGAATTCTCCAGAGAGAAAAAACACAGTTATGAAATACTATATTTATTATCAAGTTATTGGTTTGCAAAACCTAAGTTTGTAGGCATTATAGTAACATATTGAATTGATAAGTAATGCTTGTTGAGTTTTAAAAATGGAGAATATTATAGAACATTCGAAGTAATAATCTCAAAATGCAATAATAGATATTTTTTCTATAGAAAATGTCTGAATGTGTGCACATATAAATAACAATGAGACCATGATGTACTCACTAAGCCACTGCATGCATAGTGGAAAATAATTGGAAGAGTTTTAATACATTTATATTTAAAACAAATGTTCTGTTTGTTATAATTGAATCTAAGCTCTAATGGCTTTTATATTTATGTAATCTTAGAATAACGACAATGAGACAGCATTACACTGTGCAGCTCAGTATGGCCATACGGAAGTGGTGAAGGTTCTTCTGGAGGAGTTGACTGATCCTACTATGCGCAATAACAAGTTTGAGACTCCTCTTGATTTAGCTGCTCTCTATGGGAGACTAGAGGTTGTGAAGATGTTGCTTAATGCTCATCCCAATCTATTAAGTTGCAATACTAAGAAACACACTCCCTTGCATTTGGCAGCTAGAAATGGCCATAAAGCTGCTGTTCATGTACTTCTGGAGGCTGGCATGGATAACAACTACCAGGTATTTGCTTAAATTTGTGTGTGCAGAGTTTCAACATTAAAGTAATGTTTCAGGATCAGATTTAGTATCTCCCTTTTCAATAAGAACTTTTCTAATCACTGTTTTACTTCATCATATGTTTTAAAATCCCAATTATATGCTGCTCAGAATTGGCAAATTGAAGCAGCCTATAATCCCAACAAATACAAAAGATGGTTAAATAAGTTTATTTTTAATTCCTGTTAACTTTGAAATTTAATAGACTTATGCTTTGAAATTGTTTCAAGTTTAGCGGGATCTGTTTTACTCCAGAAATCTAGGTTTCTTCTAATTCTCAGCTGTATTTTCAACTGGATTTTATCTTTTTTTGTTTCAACTTGTAAGGGAAATTCAGAGGGTTTTTTATTAGTTGTAATTTCTTATTGATTGATTATTAGAGTGAACAGCCTGTATTTTTAAAGAAGCTGGTTTTTAAATTGGGATAAACGGTAACAAATAGCTTATGTTTGTAAAGCGGCTACCTGGACACACACTTATCGTTTTCTGATGGATCCTCAACTCATGCTTGTTTTACAGACAGAAAAAGGCAGTGCTTTGCATGAAGCTGCTTTGTTTGGCAAAACAGATGTGGTACAGATATTGTTAGCTGCAGGTGAGAATCTTTTTGACATATTTTTGGATTTCCTTTTTTGTTGGTGGTCTTAGTGTTGTAAACATTCAGCAGCCTTAGGCATACTTCTTGAGAATGAGCAACATAATTTAATTTAAATCTTTCACCTTCCTTTTTAAATTGCTCCTTCAAGCTAAAGCCTCATGAAATTTAAGTATAAACTAGGAAAAGTAACAAGAGCTGAGCAGGAATTGGTAGAACTTCTGATTTGATTTGATATCAGAAGGTTGTATACTCCAAAAACATATATTTATTTCCCTTCTGAAATTTTATTTGCTTTCACCACAATTGAATTTTAAGATATAATTTAACATATATTTATTTATTTATTATATTTTAAGTATTCCTATTCTGCTCCATTTAAGTTATAGGTTTATGTGCTTCTTATTAAAAATACAATAAAATAAACTTCTTAAAATTATAATAAAATATAATTTAAATAAAAGCACTTCCCAAATTAAAAATGTTTCTTCTAAAATTAAAATTCTTCATATGGCATAAGGGCAGCTTTAACCAATAATAATAATTAATGAACATAGATGTAGGACCAAAATGTACATTTAGGAGAAGGAAGTGATTAAGGCCAAGTTACGTTTCTACCACATTTTGCTATGTGAGTATGTGCAACATTTCTGAATTACTGTATATAATGTCAAGTTTCTTTCTGTGTTGAAGGCATTGATGTGAATATAAAGGATAACAGAGGCTTTACCGCTTTGGAGATTGTCAGAGAACTTCCTTCTCAAAAAAGCCAACAAATAGCAGCTCTGATTGAAGGTAAATAATTAAACATAAAAGAACAGAGGGCAAAAGTAGAGAAATAGGAAGCACACTAACATCAGACGCTAACAGCCATAAAAATGTGCGGGTTGTTTTTCAGTTAAGCAATTTCTAAAAGCTCTACATTGCTCAATTAACTACAATGTGGATACAAAGAAAACTAGATTTAGCAAAAAAAAAGATGTTTTCCCTTGTTTTTTGTACTTCCTGAAAAATTGGTATTAAGTTGATAGCTTCCTGGTTCTTACTCAATTTGATAATTGTCTCCTCAGCATTTATTTTTATCCCATTTGAAATTAGTTATGGATATAATGCATCCCTTGTTTATTTTTGAGATTTATAACCTCCAGGTCAGACACTTTGAAAGTCATCTATATTGCAAGGTGCACAATAGCATTAAGTAGGCAGAGGAAGAAAAGTAAAATAGAACCATTTTCCAGCCATAAATTGTTTGCAGATTATTGCATCCTTAATAGATGGGTTTTTAAATAGGATCATTTTTAATGATGGATTAGTGAAAGGGCAGTGCAAATGCATCAGGACTGAGATACAAAACTGGGAATCACACAGAGAAATATTTTCCCTTGTGGCCATTTAACACTGTTGTGGAAGTGGCCTTCACTAACATAAGAAAAAGAAGAAGTCTTTATACTTGGAGAGAGTACAGAAGACAGATTTAATATTGCATAAACCCAGTATCAGCGTGTCAAAAAGAGTTTAGCAGAAGCAAGGGTTCCCCCCCCCCTATTTCCTTCCCTTCCACTGTCCATTTACTTCACAAAGGCCCTCCTGAATGGAGTGAACTAAAGCAAAATGGAAATCTATGAAGATTAGAGTCATGATCCATTAAAAAAAAGGTGGTCCTCAACAAGAGGTGATCATTTGAAATTATAAATTTCTGCTGAATAGAAAATCATCCTCTGACAGAAGTTACAGCTGTTGCAGAGCCCCGTGATCCTGTGAGCAAAATTTGAGCACTTAGCAGTGTGACTACTCTTATGACTGAGGGCAGTTGAGGACCTCTTTCCCCACTCACCTACCTCTCCCTCATCTCAGTGGCTCATTTGGTCCACTAGCGCAGGTAAATCTGCCACAACCCTGGAAGCCTCAGCCTGCTCCCTGTCTACTTCTCCCACCCCACCATACACAGGGCCACTTACCTTTGCCTTTTTGTGAAGCTACTGTCAGGTGTGCTCAGGTGTGCTACTGTCAGGTGTGCCAATGCGAGTCACAGTCAGACAGCTAGTGAGCATGTTGTTACTGAAGGCTATAAAAACTGGAAAGAGTCTTTGTAACCTTTAGAAACATTATGTTTGCTAGGCTAGAAAACTAGTAAACATGATATTTTTGAATATCATGAAGGGTAGGAAGAGGCTGATGCTTTTTCCGTGATTGTTCTGAAGGCTATGAAGACGTTCCTTCTAGCCTTCAGAAACACCCTGTTTCCTAACTGTCTGGCTACACCTTCAGAATAGTTTCAGTGTGTTAGCCTTTCTACCCTTCAGAAACATTGCGTTCCTGGCTAGAAAGCTGCAAACATGATGTTTCTGAAGGGTATAAAGGCCAGCCTTTCCGAGTTTCAGAAAAGATTGTGTTTGCTATCATTCTAGCCAAAAAGCTAGCAAGGACTACTTATATTAGTGAAATGACAGCTTTGTATTCACCCATAGTAAATATGCAGAATGTATCCAAATATATGAAAAGTAGATTACTGTATTTTGTTTTTTTTAAGACTTCAGGTAGCAAATATCTTACATGGCACCTAATTTCTGTTGTTCCTTTGTTTTATTTGTTCAGACTGTACAACAAGAAAGAATCTTGCAACAGCAGAAGAGAAGTTATCATCGCCTTTAACTGCTTCCATTGAAACTTCTCGGATACCTCAAGGTAAAATATGAAATGTATTAAATTATTTATTTAATAGTAATGTTATAAAAAAATTCAGCTGCAACAATGAAAAACTAATATAAACTAAAACATAGTGAGGGGGAGCGGAGAAAATTGACATGATAGAAAAGTAAGAAAAAATAAGAATATAGTTTAAAAAGGATATATAAAGAAATGATTTCTGTATAACAATTATCACCTTTTCTTAAAATACAACAAATGTTCTCTTCTTCCCATAGCTCAGCTCTTATCTACAACTAGTTCCTTAAAAAACTTGTCATTTCAGTTCAGATATACTCTCACTATTGAGATGACTCATGGTACCGTTTCCACCTGAGCTGATTTGCATTATAAAGAACATTCTGGAATGACTTCCACAATATTCCTACACCATCTCTTTCAAGAACTTTAAACAGATATTAAAAATAACGTGAAAGAAGATTTTTTAAACAAATCCAATGTATTTCATTGGTGATATGTAGGGGTCAAGTACTAGTTCTCCCTCCACTCCCTTGTCAAAATAACTGCAGATCTGAACAAAGTATATTAGGACTCCAGTTCCCAGTCCATATGCAAAGATAATGTATGAAGTAGAAAGCTATGGAAATAATGAAATCCACCTTTTATGCTTCTGGCATTGTGGAAAGGAATAATTGTAGCCAGGGTTTCAAAACAGAGTTTGTGAATAGGATCTCTACAGCTACTGAACATGTATAGAACTGTTTCTGATTTAACATGTTTGCTTTCTTTAGGAAATGTGGAGAAAGCTGTGACAGACTTGATAACAGATGTTGATAGCAAGCCAGAAGAATGTCCATATGAAGTACTATACAATGCAACCTCCTGTCATTCTTTGGACAGCCTAGCCAGTGGAAGATCCTCAGATAGAGATTCAGTGAACAGAGAAGCGGAGATGACTGGTATTAAAGTGACAGCAGTGAGACCTGTACGTAGCCTGATGTGTGTTATCTTTTTCTTTTTATGGAAAATAGGCTGTGATATGAAAGCAGGCCTCCAAACTTTCAAGAAGTTAATAGCCCAGCTGTACAGTTTGGAAGTGATAGTAAATAATTTTTAAGGGCTTTGGTTACTGACTACCTGGAGCCCATTGTCCTGTTATGAAATTCTTGCAAGAATTATTCCTTATTCACAATGTAATGGCTATTTGAATTTAGGTTCATTTCTACCACTATATATTTTTGCTAGGGAATGTAGCTCAGTTTAACCATTCAGGAGCAAGGGGAAAAAACCTAGAATGTGACTTTCCTTTGAACAATTTTTCACCCAGTTTTCTTTGGATTAAAACCACTCTACCGTAATAATCCTGAATATTAGATTTGTTTGCACCATTTTACTATATTAATTGGCCAGCAAATCAGTTTGTCATGGAATTTACGGATTTAATCCAGCAGGGGGAGTTTGGAGGCTTTATAGTAGTTTCTCTGAAAGCAGCCAGCTTTATTTAAATAACCTATTCGAGTTGGTAAGAACAGTACTGTATTGGATTTGAGCATACTATGGAGTATTTATTGCACATTAAAATAAGGATGGTTGCAGTTTATTATAAATATACAGAGTTAAACATGAATTTGTACATGCAGCCCAAAATATATGCAGATTTATTTTGAAGTTATCAGTGGTTGGCAGTATATTTTAAGATTGAAACAGTTAATGAAACAGGTTTAAAGACAATATAAGATGTTTTTATGTATGCAATATGTGCATATAATAGCAGCTTTTAAAGTGTTTTCTTTCATCAATATTAACAATATTGATTGGTTTACTGATTAATTGATAATGTGCCATCAAGTCTGTCAAATCTTAGCAACCACATAGATTTTTCTATTTGACAAACTAACTTGGTCTTTCGATGGTGGACTCTTCTTCACTGTAACTGACTACATTTACCTTGCTCCGGGTCATTTTCTTCTTGTCTTTCCCAGCATTAGAACCTTATTTAGAGAGCCCCATCTTCACATAATGTATCCAAAGTAGCATAATTTGAGTCTGACCATTTCCCTCAAGTGAGAACTTGGGATTGATTGGTTTGATTCTTTTTGGCTGTCAATGGTAATCCCAGGAGGCTACTCAACATCAAAATTCAAATGCATCAATTATCTTCCTATCCTGCTTCTTCAATGTACAACTTTTTTCTTTTGTAGAATATCACAGGGAATACCATTGCTTGTACAATTCTGAATTTTGTAGGTATAGATACATTACGGCTTCGGAATGTTTTTTCTAAAGCTTTTATGGTTACTCTATCAAGCACTGCCTACCAAGTCTGTGAAATATTTATTGAATGGAAATTATGCCAGTTTTGTTATTAGAGAAGTTGCATACCAAATAGTTAGGACATCTGTGTGGTCCACAAAGTCCAAGGGAAGATAAGTGATAAAACATAGGTAATGCAGGCTGTCCACTTTTGTATTTTATTATAATGTTGCATGTAAAAAGATAAGGCACAGTTTGTATTCTGAGGCCATATCACGTGTTTCATCATTTCGATGAAATCACTTATTTGTTTTGCTGCAGTAAATATATTACGGTTGCATCAAAAATGAGGCATTGATGAGTATCTTTTCAAAATTGTAGAGAGAGCGTCCACCACCTCCTGCAAAACCTCCCCCTGATGAAGAAGAGGAACATGAAGATAAAAAACATGATGCATCCTCAGTGGTAAGCATCCTTATGTGTCCTCCTTGATGTTATTGATGTGGAGGGAATGGCATTAATATATCTAGAGCAGTGTTTCTCAACCTTGGTGAGTTTAAGTCCTGTGGATTTCAACTGTGGAATTCTGGGAGTTGAAGTCCACAGGACTTAAAGTCACCAAAGTTGAGAAACACTGATCTAGAGGGTAATGTGACATTTATATATATAAATTTATATATGTTGTATTTGTGCTGATAGATAGATAGATAGATAGATAGATAGATAGATAGATAGATAGATAAATAAATAAATATTTGTTAGTAGTTTTAACTGCCATATCAGCAGGCTCTGGACAGGGTTTTATGCCACGGCCTGATTTGCATCTGGCAGTCCCTTAGAGTGTTTTCGATTGATATGTATGGATGCTCTGTAGTAGGTATCTAATATTACTCTTTAAAGTGGAGAATTTTCAGTTGATATGTAAATATGTGCTACTTAAATTGTGCTTCATTTCTTAGTTGCTAGAAAATTTTCCTTTTGAGAGAAAGTGCTCTTTTCACAATATAACCATTTTTAAAAATTAATTAATAACAAGAGATGGAACTATTATTAATTTATGTCTGTGTCTGGTTAGGGTTTGGTCACCAAGAGAAAAAGTAGAGGGAGCACAGCTGATGAAGAAGAAGAACATCCTTATGAACTCTTGCTAACAGCAGAAACAAAGAAACATGTTACAGTAGATAAAAAGACAAAAGGTAAAGACTGTTATTGCAAACTACCTAACTTGTTGTTGTTGTTAGTTGCGAAGTCGTGTTCAACCCTTCGCGACCCCATGGACAACGTTTCTCCAGGCCTTCCTGTCCTCTACCATCCTCTTAACTAGCTATCCCGAAAACTAATTTTGGCCAGAAGCTGAAAAACTAAAACAGTTCCAGTTTTTCTTTTAAGTTAGAAGGAGTTACTTGTTTTGTGTGCCCAGCTAGCATTTTTTTTCCGTAACACTTTAATTAAAATATTCTTACTTCGGTAGCTTCCGGGTAACAGAAAGTGACTCAAACTTTTGATGTATGTTTATTATAGAAAACCAAGCAAAGTCTATGGTTAATGTAGCCACGGTATTTTGAAAGACACCTCAGCTATTTTGGAAATTCCTCCTTGCTCTCTCCCAATTTGTGTGCTCATCCATGTGCACTTTCCTCTCTTCATTTTGCACAGTTCCTAGCAAATTCATTCAAATGTCTCTCTTATTGACCTAGGTAAAGTATCCATTGTCCTCTCATATTACTGAATTCTCACATCTTTAAGAGCCAGCTAATGTGATTTGTTTGTGAAACAATCTTAGTTCTTTGCGAATTGTATTTTATAGGCTGCTTTGAGGGTACTTCATATGTTCATTTTCCAAGCATGAATTCATACTGTAAAAGAAAAAGGTTGGATTGTTTCTATTCTTCTTATACACACTAATGGTTTCTCAATATTCTGATAAAGGCAGAATTAATAATGAGAGCTATTGCTGTTGAAAAGGTAGCACATTAGATTTTGTTCATTTTGACTTGATATTAGTCCCATCGTATTTTCAAGTATAGATATTTGTTCTGGCTCTCCTCCGTCCGGTAATGAACGCAGGCACAGGCTTAGCTGTTTGCCACTCTTTATTCACAGCAATTATAATCCTGTTGGCTGAAAGCCCAAACACGACTCACTGGCAAGAAGTTGGTAGCAACCCAGACTCCAACAAACGCTGGAACAAAAGGCAGACTAGACAAGGAGTTCTCCAGATTACTACGAACGGTTGTGTCCTGCAAAAGGACTCCTCCCAAAGCCTCTTCTTATATACTCGTTTGGGAGGGGCCAAGCCACAACCACCTGGGCTTGATTATCTCTTATGAGTCTGTCTCCATAACTGCTGCCTCTGTTTCTTGGCCCTACTTTGCCTGGTGTCAGGGACACACTCCCTTTGACTTTCACCACTGCTCCATGCCTCAGGCGCCTCCTGGTAGCCAACCAGCCTCTCTGGTCCCTGCTCTGAGTCGGAACCCTGCACAGGTCCTCCATATCTTCCATAGCAGACTCATAGGTTTCCTCGCTATCGGAGTCCATCGGCAGCTCCAATGGCTCCTGCTGGGCCACAAAAATATTAGGCATAACATTCTTTTTGTTTATTTTTTCATATGAACATATGAAGTCATACCAATTTTCTCTATTGTAATGATTGATTTCAGTGGATCTTGTACAATATTTCTTAAGTAACCTCAGAGAGAAATGCCTACTTAGTTTAATATTTTCTCCAGGAGAAACTAATTCAGTAGCTGGATAGCTTTTCTAATTTCTTTAGTTCGTAAGTATATGACTTTAACAAGCAATTGCAATACTAAATAATGAGAATTAAACTAAACTCTTAAATAGAACATTTTTCATTTGCTTCATAAAAATAGCATGACTTCTGAATCATACATCCTCATTTATTAAAAAGAGCATTATGTGAACAGTAGGAGAAAATAATCAAATTTGGAGGATTCCCATCTGAATTTAAATCATACTTTAATATTGTAAAAATGAGTTACAGCAAGGCTTCAGGTCTCATGATTCCTCATTCTCTCCCATAATTACAATATTTTATTATCCGGAGCTTAGTTCTAAACTATAGCTAAAATTTACTGTTTGGAGATATCCTTTTGACACTGAAATGTCTTTTTGAATCTCTATGCATCACACATACAAATTATGCACATTTTAGAGTCATCAATGGAAACTTTTTGAACTTAGGTAGGTTTTTTTAAAACTGGAAGTGCTCTCTCCAATGTGCATGTTCCTTTTCTCATAGTTTCTTTTACATTGCTACAGAAAAAGCAACAATATCGGATCCTTCTCCATATTCATTTGTTTAGCTGAAGACAAATTCCCAGGTTTCTTTTTTTTTCAGCATTTGTCTTCATCATCTGCATTTCTCATTTCAAGGAAAATTCTATTCCCAAAAAGTTGGGTGAAGAAAGTAATTCAGAAATTAACTTACACAATAGATTGTGGGCTACACGTCTCATTTTGCAAGCACTCAAATTGCCCCAAATATATTCTTTCTGACTAACATTCTTTGAAGAGAATCATATTATCAGGAACTGCCTTTGTTTCCAAAAATTCATCAAATCGACTACCGGTTTTTCCTACCTGCATTTTTACCACTACTAAATTAGTACTTCCAGTTTTTAAGAACTCCCAGCATGTTGTTCTTAGCAACTGTTTTTACAACCCTCTGGTCCTAGGTCCTCAAAAAAAATTTGCACTAATTGTTCTTGGCTTAGAAACTGTGGCATCTTCAGAAACATCTGTAGTTTTGTCGTCTGAGAATGGTCTTCAGACTCTAGTACTTCTAGTACTCCTTTATCAAGGTTCCTATAAATAAGAATTCATACGTATCATGCACTGCTTTTTTGAAATATTCTAGGAACAGGGTTTTTTTTTCCATTGGAGTCCTACCCCATGCAACATAATATTATCTAACTTAATTTATTAAATTTTGAGGCCACCAACTTCCCAAAATCTCTCAATGGCTTACAGTGTTTAAAATACATAACTTAAGAAACATGACCACCAAAAACTATTTGTGGCTCCTCCTATTTCCTCATTTTTACCTGCCCTAGTGCTGACTTCTAAAAGGTTCTGGCTATTGATGCCTGCAGCAGAAGTGCTTGACACCTATGGCACTATTTCATAAGTATATGCATTGCAGCAGTAGACAACCATCAGATCTGTCACTTCCTGTGCATATGGAGGATTGTGAAGGGTTGTATCTTTAACATTTGTTCCCATTCTCGGGCTTTCACTGAACAGCAAAGAACAGATTGTCCTGATTTTAGGCTTCTATCTGGGAACAACCCTCTTAAGAAAGCAATTAAGTTAAGTGTTAAAGACCTGATTCATTCCATATTTTCTCCATTTATAAATGTAAGGTTTGGAACAACTTCTTTTAGGAACCAAGGAAAAAAGTTCTTTATGGGGGAGGTCTGGGAAACAAAAACAAGGGAGCCTCTAGTATAGTGGTTGTCCCATGATAATCCCAGGTTCCATTGACCAAAAGATCATGGATCAGTTTTGAGCTCTGAGTCCCTTCTTAGAGATATTATTGAGTCCAAACCAACAACAACAACAGAAGGACAGAACCAATATACAGGATAATTTTAATTCTTGTTGCCTCATTCTCAACACAGAAGTTCAGGACCAATTGAAAATTATGTGGCCATAATTCTAACACCGCTCCAATGCTGATCTCTCTGATCTAGTAGAAAAATTATCAGTGCAGGCATTAAACACTATCATCACTAAGAGATCATTCAAATGCAACTTATCTCAAAAGACAAAATTAGAGAAAAGTTAACTGCTTTGCAGTCACATTATTTCAGTGCAATGGTGTCCTCACCAGCTTGTTTTAGTATGGAGGCTCTTCCTTGGTTCCATACTCTTATACCTGCTCTTAAAATGCTGTGACTTATAAATTGGCAGGCACTAAATTATTTGATTAACTCTCTCTCTTTCCCAGTACAAACACACCGAGGTAGTAGTCACAATCCAGCTTCTTGCCCTTGGAGCTTGCTGCTCCTAAATGTATATAATTCATTAATTGTAATATTATATTAGTTATAATAAGATCTTATAATAACTTCCTAACTATAACCTATCATCCATCCTCCCTTCTCTGCATTGTAATTCTCTTTGCAAAATAAGCTGCAAAATGAGTGACAGGTCAGATGTTCAAAACTTTGCATTGAAGGCTCATGATGCCCTCCAGACATGATTATTCTTCTTTTGAAAGGCAAGCATTAAAAAGGCAGAAAGAATACTCAGGCTTCACACAGCACTCTGAAACATTGTGTTGCTTTTACATTCAGTTTACTATTGCACTTTACTAGTAAACCTACTTCAAAATGATTTGAGAAAAAGGCATTCTGTGATGGCCCTCCATTCTGGAAGAGTCATACCGCATATTTTAATTAATATGGTATTGAGGAATTGCCCCAACTTCACAGCAGATGATCAAGTCTCTCACTTTTGGCTTTCTGACTCCAATGAATGGCCATTACTGATACTCCCACCACCTATGGGGTTCAATTGTAGGAAACCATATCTTCTTTGGAAATAAGAGATTATAAAACTGGTGCTGCTGCTTCCGCATGCCAGGAAGGCTGACCAACACAGTCATAAGATGCAGAGTTCAGAGCAGGAAGTAGCATTTTCTCAGTATAGATAGTCCTCAAATTACAACAGTTTGTTTAGTGACCATTCAAAATTACAACAGCACTGAAAAAAGTGACATGACCATTTTTCACACTTGTGACCATTGCAGCATCCCCATGGTCACGTGAATATAATTCAGATGCTTGGCAATTGACTCATATTTATGACGGTTGCAGTGTCCCGGAGTCATTTTTGGCAACCTTCTGACAAGCAAAGTCAAAGGGGAAACCAGATTCACTTAATTACCTGTTAACTAAACAACTGCAGTGATTCATTTAACAAATGTGGCAAGAAAAGTCGTAAATTGGGGCAAAACTCATTTAACAAATTTCTCATTTAACAACATAAATTTTGGGCTCAGTTGTCATAAGGTGAGGACTACCCGAACTAGCAGATTATGTTTTCTTGATGCTGGAACTTTCAACCTTATGATTGAGAAGCAGACACAACTGCTTTAAGGTCTTGTTTTCAGTACTGTTCAAACATGATATAGCTACTGTGTTCATTCGTATGCATTATTCTTTGGTCTCCAAACATGTTTTATTAAGTCAAAGATTGTTAATACTTTTGACACACTATAGCCATTTTTCTCTTTCAATCCTGGCACTATGGAAAAGAGGTTTTCAATACTGGTCATATGGAAGAGTTTACTCTGCACCAGTGGATAAGGAATAGTAGAAGCATGAATCATGAATGAAGGTTTTATGACTTCAGAGCTTTAATTCTGTACATTTCTAGCTACTGAGAATGGCTGGTGAAGTACTGGTACTTTTTAGGTGAGAAAGAACTGTCTCCGGTGCCTATATCTCAAAAGATGATAGGAAAATGATCTTTCAGGAGGAAAAGAACTAAACAGCAAATCAATATTTCCAGGTATGGTAGAGTTGGCATGGAACAAGTATTATGGCCATAGGGGGCACCTTAAGGAGATATATATTTTATATCTTCTGGATTGAACTACAAAGTCATGGTCAAGACTGAAAATTTCTTATTTGGAGTGTGAAGGCTTGTTTAATGAGAATAAATCATGGTGACCCGAATGAGGTCCAGAAGCGCAGGGCTGCAATAAAAATAATGGACCTCTACTTACATCAGCTGTAGTGTTTCAGATTTCAACATAAAAACTGAAATTCCACAGTTCAGCATTGCTTGCCTGGGTAGCCAGAGTGCATCCTGTCTCAAGCTCCAAGGTGATAATTCTTCCTTAAAGATTGGATACACAATTCTGAAGACACTCATCGGGCAAGCCCATTCCTTTAATTATGTGGATACTGCAGCAGATCTTGCTTTTAACAGTAATTAGCTAGATTTGTATTGTAAATATTAAAAATATTTTTATTTTTAAATTCTTAGGTGAATCAACTTTAGGTGCTACCTGCAGTGTCCAACAACAGGTAAGACAGATATAATTTTAATATAGATTATATCCAGTATGCCAACAGGTGTTCATTCATACCTAGGAACTTTCTCTTCTTCTCCTTCCTTTGTCACTCCTCCTTTAGTCTGCTATGGAAGGACTTTCTACAAGAAGTATGTGGAGGAAAAAAACCTCTGCTCTGCTGAGGACTGTCATTGTAAAAGTGGACTTGACACTTTTATTGCATGCAACAACACACATATATACAATGCAACAGACACATGCTGTGTATGAGTGAAAACATTTTAAGCTGTAGTATTAAGAAAAGCCATTTTAACACTCACACGGTACAATATTTATCAGAAGTTTCAAGTTTAAGGCACCTCCAGAATAGTCAAAACATCCTGCTTTGAATTTGAGACAGCTGTTTGCTGTTGAAACAGGGTTTGTTCAACTCAAGACAGTTCAGATGTAGTATGGGTCAAATTTAAAACATTTTTGCAAAATCCTGCTGAGATCTATCAAGGTATATATGCTTCCGTTTCCTACATTTTATAGCAAACATATATGAAACAGAACTGAAATTGTTTAATGCTAAACAACAATAAAAATGATAAAATGAAAATTCTAATTAAGAAAAATGGAATACACATGCGAATCAGAAGTATATGTACTGTGAAAGTAACTTAGCAGTATTTGGGACATATAGTTTATTAATAGGTGTTGACGAACTAAGCTTCATTTTATGCATTTCTAGTTTTGTAAACTAAAATTCTATGTAAGCCTACATAATTAGCAAAATGATTGATGCTTCTTCTTTTTTTGTTCCCTTCTGGGTTTGTTATCTTTGCCATTATTGTTCTGTCTTGTGTTGTTTTTAGGGCAGGGGGATGGACGATGGACAGACTTATTTTTTGTAGTGTTTTATGTTTTTAACAATGGTAAACTGCCCATGTTTAAATATGAGATGATGATGATGATGAAGAAGAAGAAGAAGAAAAAGCAAATACCAAGTGTTGTATCTAGACCAGGCCTGCACAATTTGTAGAAGGGAAAAGACTACATCAAAAAATTAAAAATAATTGTGGCTGCAGAGGCTACCTTTGACTACAGGTCAACTGTCTTGTGGCTGGTAGAGCAGTGGCAATGCTGTAGCTGGAAGCCTCAGTGAGGCTTGGATTCACTCATCAGCATGACTTATGAAGTGGCAACAGTGGTTATGTTTGATGGCAATGAATTTGAGTTTCTGAAAAACACCAGACGCCACAAAAGACTATTTGATGCAGGCCATGGGCCATATGTTTTGCAGGTTTGATCTTCAACTTTCTCGTTGAAGTAGTATATAGCTAAAATTATTGATTGCTTTTGGTTTATATCTAAGGGGAAAAAATTCAAAAATATCTATTCAAATAGATATTCAATTATTACTTGTCTTTTAAAAATAGAATGATTTATTTTAAATGTATTTATCAAATATTTTTATGATACAGTTAAAGTAAAGTGGAATTAGTTGTTGCTACCATGAATTTGATTTAACAAATAATATAGGTAATAGAATTTTCCTATCCATCGGTTCAAATTCAAAAATGGTATCTGACAATTAGATTTTGTATTCTGTTAAAATTCTGATATAATCACTACCTGCATTTCAAAATGAACTAGGCATTGTCAAATATTATAAGGGTTCAATATTCCATGAAATTATTTTCTTTTTTCCATAACCTTGTTTAAAATTTAGTAATTTCCCATCATCTCTGGCTAACATGGTCAGTGCAGAAGAATGACTGTAGTTGTACCAAAATATTTGAGAACCCATCATGTTGAGATCAACATATTAATTCTAATTGGGGATTTTTGCATTTTAAATATTGCTATTTGTCAAAGTTTGTACTAAGCCTTTGAAAGTTTGGAAGCATGATACTTAAAGTAAAGAGGCATATGCAATTATGTTTAACTTACATAATTTTATAAAGGTTAACTGTTGATAAATCATAACTAATAAAATTAATTACATTTTACATGATTTTTTGCAGACATGGTCCCGAAAAGGTCTATCTTCTCAGGATGGTCAGTGGCCACTAAATTGCCAAGCTTCCTCCGATTTTTCTTCTAGCCATTCTGAACAATATCCAAGTCCTGAATCTCAGTTGGTTGAGATGCCAAAAGGTAGGTAATCATTCTGAATCATTCCAACTTCATAGAAACCTATACAGGAAAAAAATGGTGTTTGTTTTTTAATATATGCAGGAATTCTTCGATCTAGCTAGCATGACAAAAAAAATCAAATGCCTCTTACAGGCCTCTGCTCAGGCTGGAAGATATTTTTTTGTTTGTTGTTTTGCTTTTGGGAGATGGGAAATGCAGGCACAGTTTCATTGCAACAGTGAGGGCTTTGTTGGGCTTCATAGCTGTTGTTGGAAGAATGAAATGTTTCAGTTTTGTGATACACACTGTCAGCTGCTTTTCCACCCCCTGATAACAGTGTTGCGAAATGTTAACACTGTTTATAGATGCTGTATTGAGCATTTTGGGCAAACAGTAAAGTGTAGAGGCATTTTATTCATCTTTTCCTATATGTTGCTATTGATATATTATCACAGATTTGTGATATATTATCACAAATCTATGAAAACAGACAAGATGTTCCTCTTAGACAATATACTTCCTCTGGAGACTTGTCATTTATACTTTAATGGGAAAGATTTGACAGTGAAAGGTAGCTTGGACTGTTACATTTCCTCTGCTACACGCATATCAAGATACGAATCTTAATGTAAACCTGGTCTGCATGCAATATTGTTCTATAAAATGCTCTCAGACCCCACCCACCCACCCCCACCCCAAATCTTGTTCTTCATGATTTTGAGTAAGAAAATAAACGCAAAAACATTTCTGGCACACATGCTTAAAGTACTTCGTACCTCTGCAATAAGAGATTTTATTAAAAGTATTTTCTTACATATTGAGTAATTTTTAAGCTCAGAGAAATAGCTGCCAATAAATATAATTTTGTCAAACCTCCTGTAGAATATGTCCTGTAGAAAAATTTAAATAATACATAAAGCTTAATGTTTTTAAGTTATATCAGCCACAGCTTAATGTTTTAGAAAAGAGTAATGATTTAGCCTTTTAAAAGCTTATAACATGTTAAATAGAAACAAAAGTCCTTAGAAATGACCATATAAGGTGTCTTATTGAAAGAACCTTTCCTGATTTGTTCTGATTTCTCCATACTGATTAATCAACAAAGGCTCCAATTGAATCAGAGATAAATATTTTCTGATTTGATTTAGGAATAATGAAGCACTACTGAATCATTGCAAAATGTAACAACTTTGGCTGAGTAGAGCCTACCAGGGTAATTTTGGATTTGAAGTTAATATCTTTCCTACCTATGCTTGTATGTTCAATCTAAGATACGTACTATAGGAAAAAGCTTCCCTTTCTGTTTCCTAGATATTCTCCAAAGAGTAAAGTACCATTGTGGAGAACCTAGGTTGCATAACTTGGCTTTTATCAATATTAAATATTGGGCAATACATTAATGATTGTTGTTCGGAGTGGTTCTTTGCTATAAGCTTTTACATAATTTACACCAGTGAATTATTCATGCTTTAATCAGGTTCTGATTTTTGATACAATATATTAAAGCATGAGTCTTGTTATAATGTTACCTCTCTGCTGCAATACATATTGCAAGCTGAAATTTACTGCAGCAGTAGAAAGAGACCACTTTATGTGGTGGTATTAGTTAACGCGAAGTGAGGCTTTAAAGGAATTGTTGCTGTTGCAAAAGGAGGTGAGTTCAAGTCACCAGGGAAGGAAACAGCTGTTGGGTGGAGGGGGGAATTTGTTCATATTTGCAGGTTGTTTGCAGCTCATCTTTCCCCACCCAGCATTCTGTGCCAAGGAATAGGGAGTGTTGCTCTAAATAACACTTTGGCCTTTATGGAAATATGTTCCAGGAGACTCAGTCTCTCCCCTCCTCCCCTTTGCTGGGTATAGTTAGCACTTCTCCAAACCTTATATAGCAAGGGCTGATTGTTAGTGTTAACAGGAATAAAATGAAACAGAGTGGGCTGCCAGATTGCATAAATCAGGCCACTGTTTAGAATTTCATAAATGTTCCAACTTTGGGTAAAATCTGAGGACTCTGAACAATGCTGTTCTTTCTTCTTCTTTTCTTTCTCTCTCTCTCTCTCTGAGGGAGAAAAGCTAAAATCCTGTTTCTCTTGATTTCTATTTGTTGGGTTTTATTTTGGTGGGGTTTTGTACCCCTTTGAAGACCAAAAAAGGTTCAACAGAAGCCACAGCCAAGCAGATGTCCAAGATGCCCAGGTACTGGATCAATTCTCAGGTCTTCTGCATGGTTCTTCTCCGGTGTGTGACATAAATGAGGACCCTTTGAGACTCATTTCTGCTGTGGGCAAAGGAAGTACAGAGGGAATTGCTATGCAGCTGGAAAACGTTGAGGCTTCTGGATCGGTACAATCTAGTACTGCAGACCAAAATAAAGTGGTCTATTCAGCCATACGCCATATCCGTGACAAGTTGGATTCTGGAACTTTGGCACATCCTCATTTGCCACAGCACCCCGGTAGTGTTGAGGATGGAGACAAGAGCAGTGTTTTGGGAAGAGTTCATCCAGGAAGCAAGTCCAAAGCAGACCTCAAACTTAGCCGTAGCTTATCAAAATCGGATTCTGATCTTTTGACCACCTCACCAACAGAGGACGATACTATGGGAAGCAGAAGTGAATCCCTCTCCAATTGTAGCACTGGGAAAAAACGGCTGGAGAAATCACCTTCCTTTGCTTCCGAATGGGATGAGGTAAGACCAAGCTGGATTTTTTAAAAAGTAAAATAAAAATTGCTGCAGGAATTCCATGGTTAAAAATGGATCAGGGATGAAAGAGTAGAAGCAGTGGTTATTTATCCTAGTATCAAATATATTTAGTAGATAATTAAAATTATACTATGAATTGAATTCAGACATTTAATCTTATGTGATGCAGAATTTAGGAAAAGTTTTAAATGTATTCAATGTTGTCTAAAATGGTATTATTCTATTGAGAATCAGTGTCACATTAGAATATGTTTGCATAGCACATTCTCTCTAGAATAGTTTGTGGGAAAAGATTGGGTCATACTATGTATCCAGGGCTGCTTTATGTTAGTGAGAAGGCTTCAAAAGTCGAGGAGTACCTGGATGTTTTTGAACGCTCTCTTAAAATAGCTAATTCCTAGGATTAATGGGAAGTCAGCATAATATATGAGAAATCATTCTTTAATAGAACTTTGTTCTGATCAGAAGTCAACAGAGATTAAGTGCTATTCTTCAAACAGCACTAAAGCATTCCTTAGTTATTCTACTCTGACTTAAAACGCAGTTGCATGAGCATGCAAACTGCCTTTTATAGATCGGAAAATCTATTATTAAGCAGTTAAGACTTAGTTGGGGAAACATTATGCCATGCCAGGTCTAAAAAGAATATTAAAGAAAATCCATTAGCAAACAAATTAGGGAGATTAAATTGTGTGGATTATAAATTGAAAATATGAAATCAATATTTATTATTATTTGTGTAGTGCTGGGATATTCAATTCTTAAAAGGTCTTTTGGAGTACCTTGGGTGTAAAATATTGCAATCTGCAACTCCTTAAAGTTGGGGCATTTTTTAATAAGATTGCACAGCTGCTGTGAAGTCCTGGGAAAAGATGTGTATATTTTAAGGTACACAGATGTTTCCTTTGTGACCCTATAAACTTCAGGGCTCTTTTTTGCAACAGAATCAGAAGTATTACGCTAACTGCTATTTATTTAGAGTGCAATGGTATTTCTTATAATAAAAACATTATGTATTAAATTGCAATTCTTATATAACATTTCATTTCAAATATGTTGTGATGTATACATCTAACCAGCTCAAGTGTTGGAAAGCCTATTTCAAGTTACTGCATAATATTAATTTTATGCTACATGATTTGTGAATATCAACAGTCTTGTTCTGGTAACAGTTGCTTGCATTGTAGAATCAGTATTTCTGGTTACCTTGAGATTGTTACTAAACCCAGTCTAAAATTATTATTGTGACGAAAAAAGTCTGCCAGAAATGTATTTATTTTAAATACTTCAAGATTTTTTATCCAAATTACTAAAGCGCTTGCAGAATGCCATTTTATTTCTATAATGCTTAGTCTGTTTTTCGCCAAAAAATTTGCATATATTATCTTTTAAAAATTTGAGGAGGATCAGTAATTATATACCCTAACACAGGGGTAGTCAACCTTTTTATACCTACCAACCACTTTTGTATCTCTGTTAGTAGTAAAATTTTCTAACCACCCATTGGTTCCACGTAATGGTGATTTATAAAGTAGGGAAGTAACTTTACTTTATAAAATTTATAAAGCAGAGTTACAGCAAACCCCTACTGCCCACCATGAAACCTCGAACGCCCACTAGTTCCTACCACTACCACTGCCCTAACAGAATAATTGCCTT